TGGTTACATTATAAATGTATTAGCTAACAAACTCTACGGAGTTTTTGCTATTATATATGTAGCTTAAGTTTATTCATATCTTAAGCTCAGTACTATGTTTATATCATAAAAGTATATTAGCTAACAAACTCTAAGGAGTTTTTTGCTATTATATATTTAGCTTAAGTTTCATCATATCTTAAGCTCAGTATTATGGTTACATTATAAAATGTATTAGCTAACAAACTCTACGGAGTTTTTGCTATTATATATGTAGCTTAAGTTAATTATATCTTAAGCACAGTACTATACTCATATCATAAAATTATATTAGCTAACAAACTCTACGGAGTTTTACTATTATATATATATCTTAAGTTTTATTCATATCTTAAGCTTAGTACTATGTTTACTTCATAAAAGTATATTAGCTAATAAACTCTAAGGAGTTTTTGCTATTATATATTTAGCTTAAGTTTAATCATATCTTAAGCTCAGTACTATGGTTATATCATAAAAGTGTATTAGCTAACAAACTCTACGGAGTTTTTTGCTATTATATATGTAGCTTAAGTTTATTCATATCTTAAGCTCAGTACTATGTTTATATCATAAAAGTATATTAGCTAACAAACTCTAAGGAGTTTATGCTATCATATTAACAAGCTTAAGTCTATTAGTCTTAAGCATTGTATTCATGTTGTATATACTTTTATCATAATATTTATATTGTAATAACCCATATATGGCAGCTGATAAGTTAGCAGCAGGAATTCATCAATTCAGTGCCTTTATGAAGTTCCCATAAGGGGTTATTACAGTCACTTTAGTACAAATCACTAATTATCTAAATCCAAAGTATTCTGTATTCCCACCTCCGTATCCATTGGATTCTACAAGCAAAGAGCATGAGTCAGGATAAGGAAAAATATGTAATTTTCTGAATAAAATTGATATTTTATACTTATCCTGACTCATGAATAGCTCCCTCCCATCCTCCCCACATAACACTTTGGATTTCCCTGATAATTCAAGTGTTGGGCTCGCTAAAATGAGGAGAGAGTGAGGCACATGGCAGAGGGTGGCACACCTGTTCAGCTTTGGGGGACAGATAACTTCGTGGGTGAGTACTAATTAGTGATTTTACATTGAAGGGAACTTCAATTAGGGAGATACAAGTGTTCCACTATGTTCGCAAGAGGAAGGGGACAAGCAAAAGAGCATGAGTCAGGATAAGTATAAAATATCAATTTTACTCAGAAAATTACATTTCTGTCCAAATTGCTCTTTGTTGTCCTATTGCTGACTCAGCAACATGCACGGTCTGTTACAGCGGATACAGAAGGAGTTGTATGGGCCACTGATGGTGATCTTCACGATGATTGCCTTACTGCTGTACCAGATGAAAGTCTCATCACATTCTGTGGTTTGTATTAAGGCTGTAACGATTCACTCGCATATTCGTTGAATCGAACCGTAGCCCTTCATGAATTCAATTCGTTATTCGTGGTAACCAGAACCGAATATTAACGAATATTTACGATTGTTTTTAACGGAGCACATGTTACTTGAACTCTTGTGTACTTTTGGAAAGTGAGATATGCAAGACTGGAATATGTACTAGCCTTGCAGTAGCGCAAGTCATGTGAGTTTGCCAAGGCCGCACATGGTACTGTTGATTAACTATTACATACCAAATTTTTAGTGTCAGGAGATCACTGGTTATTGCTGTGGCAAATTAACACTGTCAACATGGGCGTCCATATTGTGCATAAATAACTTAACTAAATATTGTATTCGTGAATAATTATTCGTATTCATTACCCAATATTCATAATAGGTATCATATTCGCCACATGGTGTATTCGTTGCAGCCCTAGTTTGTATATTGGGTCATACACAGGCAGCTTTAGAAATTCACTCTGATGCTTTTTTTATTCACTTACACACAAGCAGCCTTTGAGCTTTGCTGTGATTTTGATGGAATGTTGCTTCATCACCTCAGCGTTTTCTCCCACTTCAAGCTGAAATGAAGTAATGTTCAAAGTTGTGAGATAAATCAACAGAACATGCTTTTAAGATGTTTCCTGATATGTAGGGTTTGTGGTAGGTTTGCTGATATATGGTGAAGGTTTCTCAGTGGACGTTTGCTGATATCTCTCAACTCTCAAAGTTACTTTAATAGGAAAGAGAACCATTACCTTCATCAACCATGACACTGTTGTGTTTTTCCTGTCTAACCCAGCTTTGTGCCAAAGATCACTGACTGACTCACTGAGTTTGGTTTTACGCCGCTTTTAGCAATATTCCAGCAACATCACGGCGGGGAACACCAGAAATGGGCTTCACACATTGTACCCATGTGGGGATTCGAACCCGGGTCTTCGGCGTGACGAGCCAACCAAAGATGATTGTCCAACAAGTAATGACCCCACCTGTACCTGTTGCCTGGAAGGGCGGTGGGGTGGCCTAATGGTTAAAGTGTTCACTCGTCACGCCAAAGACGCGGGTTTGATTCCCCACATGGGTACAATGTGTGAAGCCCATTTCTGGTGTCCACTGCTGTGATATTGCTGGAATATTGCTAAAAGCAGCATAAAACTAAACTCACTCACTATTCCAGGAGGAAGGAACTCTGATGGGAACGGCGTTCTTGGTGTGTTTCTCATACTGGTTCGGGACATCGTCGTTCATATGGTTCCTCAGTTACGTCTGCAACGTCAGGATAGCGATGGTGCAGGTGCTGTCCATGGTGGTGAGTACAGCTTCTCAGCTCCAGCTTAGCTGCGTATTTACATGCAACGTAAATCACCATAATCCAAATATATTTCAGTTGCTTGTGTACAAATATGAAGGAAGAAATGTGATTGTACAATATGCCTTATTAGTCATATAGTTTTACAGCCTGTGTGTATATGTTTGTTTTCAAATACAGTAGGGGTGGTCCGATTAATTGAAATAATCGAAGATTGGTCACAGTGACTAAACGACCAAGCAATCGGTCATGTTTTTTCATAATTGAACACAAACAATTCTGGAACACTTGTTTTCATTAACAGTATTTTTCACTAGGTTGGTTTTGTCTGTTACTTTTCATAAGCACTTCAAGCTCGTTCCAAGTTATGATTCATTTTTATCTTGTAGACTCTAAGAAATTTATGTTCCTAACATACTAGTCATCCTTTAAAGATGTGAAATTTTGCCCCCCAAAACCCAAAGAACTACGTTTTTTCCTTATTTTTTGTGCATTAACAAATTTAATAAATGACGCTAACCAATTATTTTCGATGATTGATCGGTTGTAGTGAACCAATCATCAATTATGAGATTTTAACCAATTCTCAACACTAAGCTACAGTTAGACTGAACTGAAAGGGACCACTCATATTAGTTCATTATAACCAGAGTCTGTTATTTGAGGTCTTTGAATGGCAGTTCCAGGTGATAAATGTAAGGAAGAGAGTTGTTATGGATGTCAACTTAATAAAGCTGACGTCCATAAAAACGCTCTTCCTTGTCTGTTATATGCTTTTTGAATAAAATATACATGTGGTCTGCACCCAAACACAGTTTGTTACATCCATCAGCTCGTTAAATGAGTGTTTGTTATAAATGTAGATTACTGTATTACTTGTAGACTACAGGAATCACATATGAATCTAATGAAGTTGCTCTGTAGTTGCTCGGTTGCTGTGACTAAGACATTTATCACTGTTTTGAGGCGTCATGTGGTTCACTTGGGGCAGCACAAAAACATGTGCAGGTTAGAAATTGTCAGAAACAGTGACTGTTTTCACAACTCTATTCATCAGTTTACACCCAATATACACAAGAGAGTGAAATATATTGAATACCCAAAGAACTATCAGTGCCCAATGTGAATATCATGTCAGTGGGTTGTCAGGCTCACTGACTTGGTTGACACATGTCATTGTATTCCATTTACGTAGATCGATGCTCATGCTGTTGATCACTGGATTGTCTGGACCAGGATTCATTATTTACAGACTGCCGCCATATAGCTGTAATATTGCTGAGTAAGGCGTTAAACAACCAACAAAAACTCTGTGACACAGGATTCCATTGTATAAAGTGGTCTTAGTGCTAAGGTGGTTGTAGCTTCCATACATTAAAACAGACTTACAATCGTCGTAGCAATAAGGATGTTTTGTACAACAACATCGCGAACATGTTCTGAAGCATCGAGCATGATCTGGTGGTTGTGGTGGTGGTGGAATTGGGTTTAACGTCGTGCTTGAGAATATTTCGCTCATATGACGACGTGCATGTGTGTGTATGTGTATGTGCGGCTGCTTGTACTAGCCCAGACTTAAGCTGGTTTTATAGTGCTAGCCCACTGAGATACCATGACGCAGTGAAGCATGAATACCCCACTCAGACACATGATACTGACTCCGAGCCGACCAGTCCTTGTTGTACCCATTACTGCCGAGCGCCAGGCAGGGACCAACAAGTACCATATTTTAACGTCTTTTTGGTATGACGGGATTGGGGATCGAACCCGCGACCTTCCGCTCTCCGGGCGGACGCTCTAACCACTACACCACGGAGGCGGTCGCTTGATCTGGTAATGAAGGACTGCTGGCCAGCTGGGTTTTCGTGGAAGGGAACTTCTTAACAGCAGTATCATTGAGTGTGCTCAGAAAACAATGACATCTCTCTATATATCCAATAACTATATTTGCTTTACAGTGGATGTTAACAAAAATTAAAGTGCTGGAATTACAATGAACACAGTTAATTATTTGAAGTTTGATGTCTGCACTCAGTCAATAAATTTTCAGTGTGATGTTTATTGTCTATCTGGGGTGGTAGCCTAGTGGTTAAAGCATTCGCTCGTCACACTGAAGGCCCAAGTTCGATTCCCCACATTGGTACAATGTGTAAGGCCCATTTCTGGAGTCCCTCCTGGAAAATTGCTAAAAACACCATAGAACCATATTCACTCACTCACTGAGTCACTATTGTCTATCTGGAGAAATAAAACTTGTATGTTTCAGGGCTATGGACTGTTTGGCCACTGCGTTGTTCTGTTCCTGGGAACTGTCATACACACAGGTCATGATCACATGTTCTTCTATCTTCTGTGGGCAGTTATTGGAGGACTTTCTGCCCTAAAAATGGTATGGAAAACAAAATGAATTCAATAATAAGACTCTATCCCATTCCACCACTGTGGGGATCGCTGACTTGGTATACACATCATCGTATCCCTATCGTGTAGATCGATGCTCATGCTGTTGATCACTGGATTGTCTGATCCAGATTTGATTATTTACAGACTGCCGCCATATTGCTGAAATATTGCTGAATGCTGCATTAAACAACATACCAACCAACCTGTAGGGATTGCAGGTTAGACTAGATCCCCAAGAACCTTGTTGTAAATGGCAAGCAGATGGATCAGGAGGTCAGGCATGGTGACTTGGTTGATAGTAATCATACCTGATATTATCATGATAATCATGATAATGGATCATTGTTCACAATATAAGTCAGTGGATTGTCTGACCCAACACTTGATTATCTTCAGGCTGCTGTCATATAGCTGTAATAATGTTGAAGGGATAAAACAAGAAAATACAATCCTTCCTGGTCCAATATTCTGTCTGAAACATGCTGACCGAAACATGCTGTCTGAACCATGCCATCTGAACCATGGTGTCGGAAACATGCTGACTGAACCATGCTGTCTGAAACATGCTCTGAAACATGCTGACTGAACCATGCTGTCTGAACCATGTTAACTGAACCATGCTGACTGAACCATGCTGTCTGAACCGTGCTGTCTAAAACAAGCTGTCTGAACCATGCTGACCGAAACATGGTGTGTTAAACATGCTGACCGAAACATGGTGTGTGAAACATGTTGTCTGAAACATGCTGTCTGAAACATGGTGTGTGAAACATGCTGTCTGAAACATGCTGTCTGAAACATGGTGTGTGAAACATGCTGTCTGAAACATGGTGTGTGAAACATGCTGTCTGAAATATGGTGTGTGAAACATGGTGTCTGAAACATGCTGACTGAAACATGCTGTCTGAAACATGTTGTCTGAAACATGCTGTCTGAAACATGCTGTGTGAAACATGGTGTTTGAAACATGGTGTGTGAAACATGGTGTGTGAAACATGGTGTCTGAAACATGCTGACTGTCTGAAACATGGTGTGTGAAACATGCTGTCTGAAACATGGTGTCTGAAACATGGTGTCTGAAACATGCTGTCTGAAACATGCTGTCTGAAACATGTTGTCTGAAACATGGTGTGTGAAACATGGTGTCTGAAACATGGTGTGTGAAACATGCTGTCTGAAACATGCTGACTGAAACATGCTGTCTGAAACATGTTGTCTGAAACATGGTGTGTGAAACATGGTGTGTGAAACATGTTGTCTGAAACATGCTGTCTGAAACATGTTGTCTGAAACATGCTGACTGAAACATGCTGTCTGAAACATGGTGTCTGAAACATGCTGTCTGAAACCATGTGTGAAACATGGTGTCTGAAACATGCTGTCTGAAACATGCTGTCTGAAACATGCTGTCTGAAACATGCTGTCTGAAACATGGTGTCTGAAACATGCTGTCTGAAACATGGTGTGTGAAACATGGTGACTGAAACATGGTGTCGTGAAACATGGTGTGTGAAACATTTGTCTGAAAATGCTGACATGCATGACTGAAACATGCTGACTGAAACATGGTGACTGGTGAAACATGCTATCTGAAACATGGTGTGTGAAACATGGTGTGTGAAACATGGTGTCTGAAACATGCTGACTGAAACTATGCTGACTGAAACATGCTGTCTGAAACATGCTGTCTGAAACATGGTGACTGAAACATGTTGACTGAACCATGCTGACTGAAACATGGTGTCTGAAACATGCTGACTGAAACATGGTGACTGAAACATGCTGACTGAAACATGCTGTCTGAAACATGCTGTCTGAAACATGCTGAAACATGCTGTCTGAAACATGCTGACTGAAACATGCTGACTGAAACATGCTGTCTGAAACATGCTGACTGAAACATGCTGACTGAAACATGCTGACTGAAACATGCTGACTGAAACATGCTGTCTGAAACATGCTGTCTGAACCATGCTAACTGAAACATGCTGTCTGAAACATGCTGACTGAACCATGCTGACTGAAACATGCTGACTCAAACAGGCTGACTGAAACAGGCTGTCTGAAACATGCTGACTGAACCATGCTGACTGAAACATGCTGACTCAAACAGGCTGACTGAAACAGGCTGTCTGAAACATGCTGTCTGAAACATGCTGACTGAAATTGAATTGTTACCGAGTTGTCTGGTCCTGACATGGTTACGCAGGGAGCATCAGCAGCAGGAATACCAATCAAGTGCAGGATCAGACGGACAGACGGACGACAGAATTGTAGATATATTTGTTTTTTATGGTTGTAATGATGATACAGAAACATTAACTACTGAGGAGATATGTTATGTCAGAATGATTTGTTTTCTTTCTGTTTCCAGGCATGTATAATAATGTCGCGAGCGAGTGGGAAGACAGAGCGGCTGATCGTGATCGTGGTTCTAGCAGCATTACATCTTCTGTTCCTCCTGTATTTACACTTCGCCTACCACTCAGTGGTAGAAGGTAGGTGCCGGCCACGGGCACTTTGTTGGGAATCCTAGCCACATCCCTGCTTGTATCACAGCTGTAATACTCCTCATGTGGACACACCACAACCTTCTGTTGAATACGGAAATAAAGTGTGGAATTTTAAACACAGATTGTCATCAGAATATATTTGGTTTAATGCAGAGAATCGACATCAGTGTCATTTGGCTAAGGGGATATGTTTCTACTGGTGTGGATATAAACTTCAGTAGCTCCAAAAGATTGCAATTAACAGCTGTTCTTTCTCAGAGACAGTTAAAAATGAATTTATGTCATTGTTGCCTGATTTTCCTGGGGACTGGTCCAGGGGAGATAACTCCATCAGTGGTAACAGTTTCTGAGTAAGACCTTAGGTTAGACATCATCCCTTTAACATCTATAGGGGAATATTTAATAAACAGGGCTAGCAGAGCCAAGTGTCAAATAGATTTAGGTAATTGCTATCATGAGCAATCTAATAAATATTAAGCTAACAGTATTTCTGACTTTAGATGGCTAACTTGGCCAATCACTTGTTTTTATATACTTTGAAATTAGAGATTTTGGATTTTAGTTGACTGCTACTATGGTAACTAATGCTTTTAATTGTCCTGAACTTGTTCTAACATTTATATTTAGAATTATCCTCATGCTTTTGGTTTGATTGCAGAGTTATCCAGCATGTTTAATGATCATCGACATGAGCCAATTCAGCCCGTGGTGGCACAGAGGATAGCAGAACAGGGACTGGACAGGAAGGTTGGGAATGCAGCAGGAAACGTAATGGAGAAAGTCACACAGAGTGAGTGTTACCTTGTGTCTGTCTGTCCGCATGTTGTGTAGAGGATGGTTTCTTGACGAGACCGATCTAGTTCAACCAGGTCAGGTCAGGTCCACATTCCAACCTGCATGTTGTGCTGGAGGCTCCAGGTTAGAATTCGTCCCCAGCAGTGTGTGCTTGAACTAGATGACAAAATGGTCAGGCTCCTTGGTTTGATTGAATTTGGTTCATTTGAGTGCGTTTGTCATTGCTCATAGTATCAACTGGGGCCACAGGTGGCCTTGCCATTTAGGCTCTACAAGTGTGACAGTCAGTTGTGCTTAGACCTCGAGACATGCAAACAGAAATCAACCATGACCTCATTGCAACAATTTGGCTGCATTTTTAAGGGTCTTGAGATCAGTTGACATGACCAGATTGTGAACTGTTCAGAGAGAACAACAGGCAAGAGTCACCTTCCTGAGAGCCATGCAGATTACATCGTGGCCAGAGTTACCTTCCTTAGAGCAGTGCAGACAAGATCATGGCCCAAGCTAACTAGCCTAGAGCCATGCAAACGAGAATGTGGGCCAGGGAAACTTGACTAGAGCCATGCAGACTTGACCATGGTCAGAGGCAATCTGCTGAGGGCCTTGCAGACTTGACCATGGTTTAGAGGCAATCTGCTGAGGGCCTTGCAGACTTGACCATGGTCAGAGGCAATCTGCTGAGGGCCTTGCAGACTTGACCATGGTTAGAGGCAATCTGCTGAGGGCCTTGCAGACTTGACCATGGTCAGAGGCAATCTGCTGAGAGCCTTGCAGACTTGACCATGGTCAGAGGCAATCTGCTGAGGGCCTTGCAGACTTGACCATGGTCAGAGGCAATCTGCTGAGGGCCTTGCAGACTTGACCATGGTCAGAGGCAATCTGCTGAGAGCCTTGCAGACTTGACCATGGTCAGAGGCAATCTGCTGAGAGCCTTGCAGACTTGACCATGGTCAGAGGCAATCTGCTGAGGGCCTTGCAGACTTGACCATGGTCAGAGGCAATCTTGCTGAGGGCCTTGCAGACTTGACCATGGTTTAGAGGCAATCTGCTGAGGGCCTTGCAGACTTGACCATGGTCAGAGGCAATCTGCTGAGGGCCTTGCAGACTTGACCATGGTTAGAGGCAATCTGCTGAGGGCCTTGCAGACTTGACCATGGTTAGAGGCAATCTGCTGAGGGCCTTGCAGACTTGACCATGGTCAGAGGCAATCTGCTGAGAGCCTTGCAGACTTGACCATGGTCAGAGGCAATCTGCTGAGAGTGCCTTGCAGACTTGACCATGGTCAGAGGCAATCTGCTGAGAGCCATGCAGACTTGACCATGGTCAGAGGCAATCTGCTGAGAGATGCAGACTTGACCATGGTCATGCCATGCAGACTTGACCATGGTCAGAGGCAATCTGCTGAGAGCCTTGCAGACTTGACCATGGTCAGAGGCAATCTGCTGAGACTTGACCTTGCAGACTTGACCATGGTCAGAGGCAATCTGCTGAGAGCCTTGCAGACTTGACCATGGTTAGAGGCAATCTGCTGAGGGCCTTGCAGACTTGACCATGGCTAGAGGCAATCTGCTGAGAGTGATGCAGACTTGACCATGGTCAGAGGCAATCTGCTGAGAGCCTTGCAGACTTGACCATGGTCAGAGGCAATCTGCCGGGAGCCTTGCAGACTTGACCATGGTCAGAGGCAATCTGCTGAGGGCCTTGCAGACTTGACCATGGTTAGAGGCAATCTGCTGAGGGCCTTGCAGACTTGACCATGGTCAGAGGCAATCTGCTGAGGGCCTTGCAGACTAGACCATGGCTAGAGGCAATCTGCTGAGAGTGATGCAGACTTGACCATGGTCAGTGGCAATCTGCTGAGAGCCTTGCAGACTTGACCGTGGTCAGAGGCAATCTGCTGAGGGCCTTGCAGACTTGACCATGGTCAGAGGCAATCTGCTGAGGGCCTTGCAGACTAGACCATGGTCAGAGGCAATCTGCTGAGAGCCTTGCAGACTTGACCATGGTCAGAGGCAATCTGCTGAGAGCCTTGTGATGGGTGGGGGGAATTGTCCTACTGGTTACAAACCAGGTGTGGGGAAATGTCATGTGGGGAATTGTCCTAGTGGGGAATTGTCCTGATGGGGAAATGTCCTTCACTCGTTAGGAACCTGTTAGGACTAATATAGTAATTAGATCACAAATACTTTTCCACATACAGTTGAAAAACACCCCATTGCTTGACACATCCGACTCAGCTCTATGACTTCATGATCTAGCTATCGGTCAACAGAAAGGAAACTTAACACATTGTGTGTGTTATATAAATAACATGCATACATAAGAATTTAACGATTTGCGGATTTGACACATCTGAGCTCAAGACATCAGTGTTTGACTGTATGTATTTATGTTTGTTTAGTCTGACTGTTGAGTTGTGAATTAAGCTTATGTTTGTAGTGCATGCATTTGATTTATCCCATACCTCATGTATATATATTCTTGCACTTAGTTCTCTATCAGTGTGTTGTAATCTTCTGCTTCTCCTGATACTAACATACCCACTAAACTACCGAAAAAGCAATTTACTTTTTGTGCTGTAGAAGTGAATAAATATTTAACGTCAAGTTTTTATTTTTATTTTTATCAAGTCACTGAATTATTACTTGTTGGATCTTGGATAAAGTCAGATGGCAGGACCAAGTTAACTTATTAATTTTAAGAGATGTTTTGAAATATTTCCACCTGTATGGACAATCAGCCCATTGAAGGAAAATAGGAATCTCATGAAAGAAATGGATGCCTTGGGGAGAAAGAGCTTTGTTACATAGTCAAGTTAAATTGAAATGAGATGTGCCTTCTGTAAGAATGTTTCACGCTGAAAATATGTGGAATGCATAATGATACAACAGCACGAGATTGAAATCTTTTGGTTGGTTCATTTCAGTTGCCACTTATCGTGAGTTGAGTTTAGAATCATCCCGCGAGTAGATACTCCATTTTGAAATGTTACATCTAAGAGATAAATGATAGTTACAAACATGATAACATATAGAAATGTATTAAACATAAAATAAACGTTTTATTTCCTCAAATGGATTTTGTGGCTGGCTCTAAACAAGTGCAGGTGGGTTACAAAGTATGTAAAACTTTAAGCACATCCAGATTAAGATGTTCATAAGTGGGAAACTTGAAGGGCATGAATTTCTTCGAGGCGTTGTAAACTGAACATCAACTGAACATCAACTGAACTGTCAACTGATAATTCTTATTTAACCATGTAGAGATTGCCGCAGCCTTTCAGCAGCGAGGTCAGTTAGTGGCGGATTCTGTGGGCAAATCTGTCAACTCCTCCTCAGTCAAGAGAGTGTTGAGGGAAACTCTGAAAGGTGTTCAGCCAGGCAGGATTGTCCCCCTTGTCTCCAAGGCTTTAAATGGAAGTCATGTGATCGCTGGGAACGCTTCAAGGATCATGTGATTGCTGATGATAGATCATTGGTCAGTAGAAAGTAATCAGTATAATGATATGAGAAATGAATAATTAGCATGCTTTGGATCAGAATTAAATGATATCAGTTGAATTAAATATTCTTGTGGGAGTTCTAGTCAGAATTGAAATTATCTTGAGCTTGTCCTAACAGGCGACTATATAGATCAGGTAGTCAAACTTGGTGACGTGGATGGTTTCACGTCATCCTGCCCTAACTCTGCATGTTGTTCAGAATATCAATCACAGGTTTGTTTGGTCCAGACACGATTATTTATCTGCCATTGTCACCTGGAATTATTGCTGGCCAGCAAACAAGTGATGATTTTATTAAGAAAATATTCTAAAACGTTTATCAACTGGTGCTTGTTCATTTCATCTTGTCCATATAAGGCATCAATCTGTTTCTCTAATGGTGGTGGTCAATAATTCCTGATATTTCTCAATGGTCTAGATCTATAGAAACTTACGGAGGTGTTCATACAGTTCCTTGACATAGAGGTAACTAATGAAATAGTCTTCATAATATGAGAGTCTTTGCATGCGCTAGCACTAGTTTCCATCTTCTTTGTGTTTAGTTTGTATTTTCGTCACCATCCAAGTCAGTATGCATGTTCACCGTGAGACTGGTCATCTGTTGTTGAACTCTGTATGGCTTATTGTGGAAACTGAACATTTCTCCATGACTTGACTGACTGACTGACTGAGTTTAGTTTTACGCCGCTTTTAGCAATATTCCAGCAATATCACGGCGGGGGACACCAGAAATGAGCTTAACACATTGTGCCCATGTGGGGAATCGAACCCGGATCCTCGGCGTGACGAGCCAACGCTTTAACCACTAGGCTACCCCACCGCCCCTCACCATTACTTGAACAAAGTCCAGTGATTCAAATATAATGAAATATAAAGGGTGCTGTTGTACAAAGTGATCTTAGCTCTAAGGTGAATGTAACTCCCATGTCTTAACATAGACTTACAACAGCCTTAAAGTGCGTTCTCATGGTGAGACTTTTAGTAACAACTTGTAGCATGCAACACAGTTGCAACGTAAGAATACCCAAATCGTACTAGTAACTTCTGAGTTGTAAGACATAGAATATGTCCTAATTCCTACTACAAGTTGCAAGCTATTGACCAGTGAAATCGCTCAGGTATTTGTCCACCTCAGAGTGACGTCCCTTTAGTTTATGTTGACATCATGTCACAGACACGGATGAAAAAGAATCGACCTTACCAGAGAAGAAACTGAGCGGTTTATAGCTTTTTACTTGTCACAGGAATGTTTATGGAATCTTCTTCTTAGAATGCAGTTGCGGACCCACACCGATTTAGGCTTTCTCTTCTTCTTATTCCAGTGACTGTGATATGTGGGCTGACATTAACATTAGTGTTTCTTCTTCACTTGACGAACCCATGTTGCCGCGTTATACGTGAGAATCTCGTGAGGTACAAGTTGTATGCGACTTAAAATGTACACAAGCAGTGTAAAACTAAACTCACACACTAAACAGTGCACAAATAAAAAAATTCTTACAATCTTTGTTGTTGCTACAAGTTGCATGCTACAAGTTGTTACTCTAAGTCACATTGAGAACGCACCGTTAGCATTTATGTTGTTTTGTATAACAGAACCCTGGGGCCGTATCCACAAAGTGTTTGTAGCTTCAGATGATGAACTATTTAGTTATGATAGCTTGAAACGCAACAAAGTCTTTGTTGTTCAATATAGGAACCAGGTTTGTTGTCTGAGAAAACAATTTATCCTTGTACTATTCCAAAGGGGTCAGTATTCTAGCTATTGTTAATCCAGATGTTTTTGAAACAGGTGGGTGGTTTGTAAACATTTTTCATAGGTTGGGGAGTCAGGTGATTATGAAATTCCAGTTTTCGATTGTGGCTGGAAGTTTGTGGTTCAATTGTACCACTACCAGTGGGTGATGTGAGTTATGTCCCTTCTATATCCCTCCTTTTGAGCGGGGCGGTGGGGTAGCCTAGTGGTTAAACCATTCACTCATCACGCCTAGGACCACCGGGTTTGATTCCTCACATGAGCACAATGTGTGAAGACCATTTCTGTGTGTCCCCCGCCATGATATTGCTGAAATATTTTTAAAAGTGATGTAAAACCATACTCACTCACGCTTTTTGATCAGTCATATTCGAACAAGCACTTGCTTTTAAGTATAGGTCTGTGCAGAGTCATCTGATCAGATTGATTATTTAGAACTATGATGCAGTAAAACTAGACTTTACCTCAGGGACCTGTGAAGATCTGGGTTAGAATTGATCTTCAGTAACCCATGCTTAAGAGGCAACTAACCGGATCAGGTGGTCAGGCTCTCTAACTTGGCTGACACATGTTATCATATCCCAATTGTGTAGATCGATGCTCATACTGTTGATCACTGGATTGTCTGGTCCAGACTCGATTTTACAGACTGTCGCCATATAGCTAGAATATTGCTGAGTGCGACGTTAAACTAAACTCACTCACTCACTTTACCTCACGAAATGCATCAAACCACTTGAGCATGTTGACTAAATCCATGGAAACTGGACTTTCATAGTCATTAACTCCCTTGCCTCATGAAGATGGTTCAAGAGAGGAAATATACAATGGCCAGCCTCCTTCCCTGCTTTACTGCTGTCTATCATCTGTCATCCACTTCATGGGTGTCTCACTGATCTGGGTGTCTGTCATCTCATTCCTATCAGATCCTTTCCTTTGTGAAACCTAACCACTTTTCTGTGTTTGGTAATAAATGTAGGATATCAGATATAATTGAGATTAGTAAGTCTAGACATGTTTAGATAACAAGGTTTTTGGTTTGTTGTTTAACGCTGCACTCAGCAATATTCCAGCTATGTAGCGGTGGTCTGTAAATAATCGAATCTGGACCAGAAAATCCAGTGATCAGCATCATGAGCATCGATTTTAGATAACAAGGGATGTCTACTTTTGACCTCCAGCAATTAACTACCTTAGTGACATGGGTGTAGAAGACTTAATTGTAAACAGAGCAAACTCAAATGTTCTTTACAGTATTTTTCAGGAGGTATAATTTACCATGATTATCATTATTATTTTTTTTTCATTTAACAAAATTCACCGTCACTTTAAAGGTGAGCTGTATCAAGGTGTGTGGGATTATCAGCTTTCTTTTCATGAAATTTGACATCATGAAGATCAGATTTCGGGGGCATTTCAGGGATGCTTGCGCTTGTAATGTTAACTTTTAGCTTGTGTGAGTTTTCTGTGTATTCATTGTCCAATATCAATCCAGAATCAGTTAACAGCTTCATCCATGTCATCCTGCCTCATCTGGTTTTTGTTGTCAGTCTATCTCATTGAGGTTTTGCAACTGTTGGCTCTGTTTTTGTACAGGTGCAGTTTAGTGAAGACAAGCTACCACAGCAGACTGCACTCACAGGAAGTCGTCTGCCAGGGATAAAGGGAGGTAAGCCATGCTCCTGGCTTCAGCTATTGTGAAGACACTTTTGAAAACTGTACAAATGTTCTGCAAGTGAGAAGATGAGATTCTATCTATGCCTGACTTTACCTGGAAACAGAAACCTGCAATGTGGCACCGTGGATCTGAACCAGATGGAAATACTTGTCAAGTGGATCCCCAACGTGCACCTCCCCACTGAATATGCTTAATTAAACATTATTAATGTGATACCACCCTCCCAACACCCTTGCCGCTTATGGATCCGTTCCTGTGTTTGAGTTTCCAACAACTCATCCAAGGGGAAGTGAAATTATAAGATGATTTACAATGAGTATGGCATTGTGTTGTCTCAGATTTCAACTTGGAATTTTTGTCCTGAGTGTACTTAATAGCTATTAGCAAACTTCATGCAATCGAGCTTAGTCTAGACGAGAGGTGTAAGATCAGGGGCGGAAATAACCCACTGCCCGACGTCCGAGTCCAGTGTTTTTTTCTGTCGGGCAAGCTTATTTGTATATCACACTGTACCGGTGTCCAGTTGACTTTCCAATGTTAATTATGTTGTTTATTTAAAAAATCAACAAGGAAACGGTCAGTATAGTGGACAAATTATGAGGGCAAGTGATTTTACATGTGCCACTGTACTGGAGTACATTAGCAAGTTTAAAGTTATTTCCACCCCTGAGGATGAGTTCATCTCTCCTTGTTAGACATAACATTTGTGTCAACAAGTGTCAGGCCCTCCTTTTGATCAAGGTTGTGTGCATCTCCACTTTCTAGAAACCCTTGACCTGCCTCTACTCTGTGTTGAAGTCCTTCTTTCTGAGGTAAAATTGATTCTAATACCTTACTTTTATTATGTCATTGTTAAAATTCCTGCATTTTGGCTGTCATCACTTTAGAAAATATTTTGATTTGCAACAGAAGCTCCTCATCACCGTCAGGTTATCTGATAAGTCGTGTGGAACATATTATCGTTAACCAAACAGCGTCACTCAAAGAAGTTAACCAAACAGTTGCCCATATGACATATGGAAAACATTACTTCTTTCCTGGGTGTGTGTGAGAAGATGTAGACAATATATGTTTCACATAATGTAAAAAGTATAAAAGGAATTTTATGAATCTCCTGACTTAATGGCATCAATGAAAATGTTTATTCGTTTATCATCCAACAGATTTGAATGATTTGTTTACATGAATATTTGTAGTCGGGTATTGGCATTTCATATCAGGCTGACTGGGTTTATACAGTGATAAATCAATTATCAATCAATTGCAGCTTTTACATATACATAATTTCCTATAGTAGAAGACTGCCCCGAAACAGCCATTATGTTCCATCAACATGCTTCCTTACCGTGTAGAGAATCGTGTGACTTGCTGACCAGGTTTGGAAAATAGTGTAGATAGTGCAGTGGGGAGCTTATGATCGTGTCTCACAGTCCCTAAACTGCATTATTTTAGCTTCTGCTTAGCCCTTTCTGCATTGCTAAAGCCCTAAATGAAGCAAGTCTAGGCTCTTCGTCTCCCATCTCACTGGGGGTCCTTTTCAATTTTAAAGGAATTGTTTTCTTTCTATCAAAATATATATTTTCAGAGACCACATGTTAGTCTGGGGTGAGCTGGTGAGCGTGTTGTGACCATCTTCTAGAGTAGGCAGGTACTGTGTGATGTAGAAGCAGAGATGATGGAAGTGCATCTAAATAGTGCTTTATTGTGATGCTGCTTGCTGCTGTACAAAACATCACATTTGTATATAGTGTATCGTATCATACAACGGGCGGGAGGACTTGTTATTGGGGTATTTTGTGAAAACTGTCTATTTTTGTATTGGGTTAGTTTATTAGAAAATGCCGGAAAGTGCTGGTTTTGTAGGTAATTTGGTCATATATAGATTTCCAATATTGTTTGTGATTGTATCTGCTTTTTCAGTGCTACAAACAATGAATGTTGATAGAATAATACAAATATGTGTCACAAAATTCTGTCAAATTTTGGATTTTTTGTTATAAACTTGGGATGACATAACATCTTAGCTCTTTAGAATGTGTTCTATTTATAAATAATGATGTTATGTGTGCAGTCAGAAAAATTTCAGAATCAGTGGTTAATAACTTATTTCCCATACTTCAAAGTGGGAGGGTATACAGGAATTGTTCCCCTGTGTTAAAGCTTGTAATCATGGTAACACATTAAAGCAAAAATATGTAATGATAAAATGTGAAATTATTCATAAAAATTTATTTAAAAAAAATGTTTTTTGTCTTTAAAGCTGGAACTTTGCTTGGATTATCCTGTCCAGTGTGTCATGGAATCTTGTTCTAACTTTATATGTCAAGTTGATCATTATTCAGCTATAAGCGTCTTGTTATGAAATGTCACAAGCAGTAAATATTTAGGTGTATATAATACCGTGGAGTGTTTTTTTAATATTTTTTGGTTAATCTGGAATGGCCTTTGATACTTTTGTCCTTTGTGAAATGAGTGCAGAGAAAGACTTATCATTATCATCATATTGTACAGATATTAAATGTTAACATTTTGTCTGAAATATCCAGGTTTACTGTTTACCTGGCAGTCTCAAACAAGTTTGGATGATATGGATGTTTGTTGATGATAACTGCCTATCTTGTGTCTATGCAATGTACAGTTGTATTAGGTTGATGTACTTGTGTACTAGCTGACTTCAAAGTATCCTCTATAATCTCCAGGGCATACGTTCCAATAAATCTCCACTAGTACCCTGGATGCATCTACGGCTTGGCCAGATAATTTTATTATCTCCCCTTGATGGCTTTTTATCCAATCAGGCGTCTATGCAGGGAGGTTGAGCGTACCAATCACAAAACTTCATCATAACTCACTTTTGCTTCTTTTATCTAACGATTAAACCACAGGGGCGTGTCACGCTTAGAAACAGCGTTAGAAAGACATATTGGTATATAGAATGTACCCTAGTACTAATAGTAGTTCTAAGCGTGACATGCCCCTGTGGATTAAACTTGGCAACACAATTGTTGCAGGGTACTCTGAAAGATGTAGAAGGACTTCTTGCATATATTTTTTGAAGGTTTTAGACCTGTCTATTTGTCTGTATGATTTTTCTCTAAATCTAAGTCGCACAGGGAGCAAAGCTTCGGGGCCGCGACCGTAATCTTTGTTGTAACGGCTTATCTGATTGGCTTCTGTGAGAAGGCTCACCCAGCAAAAGGAGGTAATATCATTATCAAACCGAGCCGAGCTGTATCCAGGGTACTAGTGGAGATTTACTGAAATGTATACCCTGGAGATTATTGAGGATGACTTGAAAATAGAGGACCTTTGAATGGACTGATGCTGACATGTACTATAATGTTTGGCATTCACAAGCCAGGGGAAGCTGTTTTGACCACAGAGGAATTCCTTGACAAAGAAGGTCCCTGTAACATATGTTATATTTGGGATTACCCTTTTCCAGTAAAGTACAGATTCGAGTACTTTTGTTGGGTTGAGTCCCATCCGGGATTCGAACCCACGCCCTCAGGGTCAGTCAGCCATCTAACCAACTCAGCTACCACGGCTTCCACAAAAATGGAAGTCGGACAACTGGTAGTCAAGTCTACAGGGCCTAGTTGTTCAAAACTCGGTTATCTTTTAACCAGTACATTTAACTGACTGTTACATAATTACAGAGGGTTATCTTGTTGTTCAAACCTCTGTTAACTTTTAACAGGCTGTTAACGTGACGTTCAGTTAACACACCTAAGGACCGCCGCTAACTTTTTAACAGTGTGGTTAACTCGCAAATGGCGTTCATGGCTAACACTGCTTTCATGATGCCAGTTCAGCAAAGAAAGGATAGGGTGTATCGTGGACTGGACTTCGATATTGGAAATTATTCTGACGAAGAGTTACATACGAAACTGTATCTATGCACGTCATAGGAACTAAAATACATGTTGTACAAGTACATGATGCCTACGTTTCATCTTTTAACACTTGTGGAAAGGTTTATATATGCTTTACTACACTAAATGTGTGAATTTCTTCTGTAAATATTATTCAAACAAACACTTTCAAAGAATATAACACGTACACCCTATACCCACGTATGATATGATATTGAACATGGCTACATGTAGATAATTAAATTAGTTTCATGAAAAAATATCCGAACGATTACATTATGATACTGAAAGTGTAATCGGCGGGATATGGTGATTGTGTATACTCTTATTCTACCGACCTTCACCTCAGAGAAATTGCCAAATACACTCCCATTTTAAGAAAGAGAAGAAGCCAGAAATGCCGATTATTAACCGTTGTCGTTCTGCGTGATTTTGCGTCAGTCATGGCGTCACGCAGCACAGAAACTTGACAGTTTCGTGTAAACACATCACATTCCTGTATTGTATCTATTTTCAATTTCCTATTTCTTGCTACTATGCTCTTTCCATGCAAATGGGTGTCTGAAAATTTGAGAAATGCTACACAGTGTAAAGTCTGAAATTTTCTTTGTTTACATTTCAAACAGGTGTTGTCTTTCGAGCACAGCAGTTGTTTCCACCCCCAATATCTTTTGTTTCACTTTATCTAGACACTTGGTATTGGTGCCAAAAAGACCAGTTGTAATTAGATTCTAAAATGTATGAGGAATTCAGTAGGGCTGGGACGAGTAGGAAACAAAGGAATCGAGTACCCGCATGTACGTACCCGAATCGGAATCGAGTACCCGGAAATGTAAGAAATACATTCGGGTCAACTTTCTGAATATTCAATCACGATTTGACAGATTATTATAGAAAACCTGAACAGTTGGTAATAAGACATTAAAACTGACCTCAAGCTATTTAATTAACCTCTGTTTAACCAATATAGAGAGTAATACCATTACTTACATTCCTCGTTATAACAACGAACGTTTTGTTCCTGCTGCTACTGTAACTTAACTACTCACTGCTCATGCACAGATAAATTACAGTCATTAAAACTATGCTCCATTAATCGGACAATACCAATGATGTAAAAACCCGTCAATTTCTGGGTTAGAATATGGATCTTCAGTAACCCATGCTTGTCGTAAGAGTTGACTAACGGGATCGGGTGGTCAGACTCGCTGACTTGGTTCGCATATGTCATCGGTTCCCAATTGCGCACATCGATGCTCATGTTGTTGATCACTGGATTGTCTGGTCCAGACTCGATTATTTACAGACCGCCGCCATATAGCTGGAATATCGGTGAGTGCGGCGTAAAACTAAACTCACTCACTCACTTACTCAATGATATAAATGTGTGTTACGTCAAAAATGAAAAAGACAAGCTATTGTCTGCCCTTGTCATTACTGA